GAAATTCTTATTCTTTAAAGGTAATAAATTACTTCTGCACAAAAAACCTTTCCAGACTTCTTTATATTTCCTCTTCAGAAAACATGCTCTTCCATTACCAAGTAAAATGATATTTACCTGTCAAATAAATGAAAGTGAAAGCAAATATTTTAGCTACTTTCACCAACTTGTCTATACCTGTCAACCCCTTGTAATAAAAGTAACTTCACATTTTACAAGGCATATGCATCATTTTCTGGGTTATTTGCTTCAAGAATCTTTCTTCCATGAAGAAAAGTCCTTCTTCTCACAGACATAATGGTACTATAGTGGTTACTATATTCTGATTCCCAGATGTAGCTCCTAAAAACAAGAGGCAACACATATGCAAGGTATCCAATCACTTATAGACAAGCACTACAAGTGGCTCTAAAGTTTTTTCTTTTTAGGTATTACTAATCAAATTCCAATATGGCTGAAGGGGAAAATATTCTTCATTTATTTAAACATTAAGTTCACTGATAAACTGGTGCCTAAAGTAGTAAGAGTCCCCAATAGAATAGAGAGGGAAGAAGTATCTTTCCCACAACATGTCCCCTAAACCCCGGGGTTGGCTTCCTGTTAGAACTGTGCCTACTTCCAACGCTTTTTTGCCATGCAGATATCACCAGACTTAATTTCTTGGTGGACAGTCAAAAGCACAAAGAACCAAAATTAGAGACATCATGAAACACTGACTTGAAAAGAAGGGGTATTTGAGGAAGTTTGCAGTCTGTTTCACTTTAAAAGAAAAAAAGGCACGCTACCTTTTAGCCTTTACAGGATTATCAGATATAACCTGAAGACTGTGTAAAAACAAAACTAAGTAGTAAAATGGAGAGTAGTGAACTTTTAAAATATTCAGAAGGGGAAAAAAAGGCCCTGACTTAAAGGCCTCAGGCTTTCCTATTGCAAAAACAGCTTTGTGACTTGGAAGTGACCAAAACAGAAATCCCTTTCCTGAGACTACATCCAAGCTATAACACTCTATCTATGTGTTTTAACTCAACACACACTGGCATTTCATATTGTGACAGAAAACATCCCAGAGGCTTGCAACACAACCTATTTTGCTTCAGACTGAATGCACCTGATGTTCTAGTTTCAGGCCAAGCAGGACAGAGTAAAACTTGGTGCAATCAATCAGCCATTAAAAGATGGTACAATGGTACTCTTAGCAACAGCTTTGCCAAGTGAGTTAGTGTCAAATAAATAGAAAAGTAGTTGTCTAAGTATTTTAATCTACTCCAAGGACCTCTTATGGTCAAGCATATGGAGACAGGATAATTCAGACAGAAAAACAAATATGACTCTTCTAGAAGTGATTTTCTGCCACTTTATGAACAAGTTATGTCAGATGACTCTGACACACATAATCCACCTCTTGGTTGAGGAGTTATTAGGTCACTTGACTTTACAGGATTAAATCCCTGCCAGCAGGAAAAAAAGACGTTGATATGAGGTGCTTCAGCTAATAGGAACTTTGTGTAGGAACAACAATGCTATGAGTTTGCTCCCCACACAATTACCTGAATTATAAGGAAGGGAGGGAGGGAGTCAGAGAGAAATCTGTCACATCTCAAGAAGCATCAGTGACAAATTCATAGAATTTATAACCTATAAGCATAAGAGATATCGCTCATGAAACTTCCTTTGCAAAGGAGATGTGAAGGTATAAAGAAGGCCTTAGAAAAGAGGTCTTTGATGAAACAGAAAAATGAAAACTAAAAGGCAAGAAAAAAGGAAATGGACTTTGAAGTCAACACTAAGAAGATATTTATGTAATTATGATGGATACCAAGCAAATACTGATGTTCACAACTACCATTTTAACACTGAAATTTTGAGCAGAGTAGGAATTCTTGTAATTCCTTTGTGTAACTTCCCAGATTTCAGCTGTTCCAACTGCAGTGTATGGACTGTTTCTATTCAAACCATTCTAGAAAGGATTTGGGCGGGGGAGTTGTTTGGGGTTTTTTAATCAACTCAGGCAGAACATCTAAACCATTTTCTTCAAGAGTTTCAGCTTCAGAGAGAATGCTTTCTCACAGCCATAACTTGAAGGATAACAAGGCAGGACATGCAAAAATATAACTGTTTAAGCAGGCTTATCCATGGGAAGATAAATTTGTGCTGAGACACAGACCTAAGCAGTTTAAATTAAGTGAAATTGTCAGTGTACGTGGTTATACTTCTGAAGCAATACAGGCAGTGTTAGGCATGTAGGAGTCCCCCGACAATAAAAGCATGTCAGAAAAAATAACTAATACACATTAACAGAACCAGAATATAAACTTCCAACAAAATAAGGGACAAATCTCTATAACAACAGTTAGAACTAAACTTCCAGTTCAGTGATTAATTAAAGAGATATTCAGGTAAAACCCAGAATAAAACAAACAAATTTTTGCCTGTAGTTCAAGTTTCTGATCACAAGTTTTTATACAAAATTTTCAATTTCCTGACAGAGAACATTCAGGTTTTCACAGAAGGCAAAAAAGTGTAGTTCAACAGCTTAAAAATACATAATTTTTATGGTTCATTGGCACCTTACTAAAACTGTTGTAAGTAACCACTTATCTTTGATTCTATTTTTCCTTGCATGTTTCTGAAAAAGTGATGGAAATCAAGCAGTTTATACTGGAATTTAATACCGAATGTTGTAGTCTATTATTATCCTTATTTACATACTGGTATTGCAATAGGGGAATACTATATTTCACATTACTTTTAGAGGAAAAATCAATTAATAAAGAATAAGGAGGGGCACACATTAGAATTACAAGTTGCTTAGCTGGAATTCTCTAAAGCACTTTCCAGTTGATCTTAGAAGTAGACTACCACGATTATAGGATAATGTATATGACTGCTTTTGTGACACAATTACTACTCCTGCCCCAAGGGATTTATATAAAATAGCTTCTAATAATGCTGTTCTTATCCAGCAAGCCAGAGTCATATATTAGAAGTAACAGACATTATGCCACGGAGATAATACAGATGAACAGGCATGATCTGTAGAGATAACTATTTTCAGAATGCTTCATTTACTTTGTAAGTATTATTGCAATAAAAGGGAAGAAAGTAATTAATTGACATAACACCATATTTAAGGCCCTTCAATCCCTCAGCAGTGTAGGATTAACAACTCTATGCTTATTGAAGTACTTAATATTATTTATCTTACAGTAGTGCCCAGAGGCCCCAACTGAGACTGAGGTCTCTCTTGAGTGGAGTACTAGAAAATCATTATCACATTAACTCACAAAAAATTCCCTTTCAAATTATTTTTTTTAAAAAAATCCAAAGACATATGCTCAGTTTAAGCCAAATTACTATTTCTATAAGCTTTACTACATTTTTTGCTCTTTCGCTCATCTTTATTTTTAATGCCAGAATGAAGCACAAGCATACTGGATATTTTCCTACTGACAAACAGAAGCATAGCTCAGAAACACATATGCCCTGGACCTCTCCCTGCCTTTCAGGCCATTGGGTGTAGGCACGCAGATGTTCCCTCATTTTTATCTGTATAAAGAGGTTTGAGTAACTAGATTACTGTCTCTCTACCTGCTAAAGAACACAACCCCAAACCACACCCTGGCATTAGTAGGCCTGTGGGAATTCTAAATCTAACTAGCAAATTGAGCTGGGACAGTTTTAAGGCTCTCAAATTTCTCCCTGAGATCAAACTGCTCAGTCTTAAAATTACCAGGGAACAGGCAGAATCTGCATAAACTTCTCAGAGGCATTATTGAAACAGATGGTTCAATATAATGAGTTTCCACACAAATAATTGTATATACAAATGTTACTACAATCTGCTGTTGTAAAAATCAATGCTTTTTTCAAATTTTTTCTAACACAAATATTTTTCCAAACTTCAAAAGCTGTACTGTCATATGCTGTATAATTAACTAAGCATTATATAAGGGACTGTTATACCAACTGGCCCACTGAGACTGTTCATTATATTTCAGTTGTAAGACCTGCTGGATGAAAGCCAGCCCAACTCTCTCCAGAGAGTCTAAAAAAAATAAATAATAAATAATTTTAAAAAACATTAGGTAACCATTAGTAACAAACAAAACACAAACATCCCTTAGATTACTCTGCACAAGTCAGTAAAGCTAGTCAGATTTGTTAAGAGGTAAAATGCATGACTTACCAAGTGTTTAGCAATCCATTGTATGTTGGGACAGCAGCCACAAGCCTGTTGGGGATCAAAAGTAATCTACCTGACAAGGACTCTCCTACTGCATCACCTATGGTCATAGGCACTGGGCAACCAGCACCCACCCCAGCTCTGGGGGCACCCAGAACAGGCAAAACTGGACTGTAAAAACAGTGAGCCTTTCTGTGGTTTGTTTATTTCAGTGACAGTCACAGTACAAGTTATCAACATGTCTTAACTTCTCTTCACTCAATTACCCACCCAACCAGTTTTTCCCTGATCTGTCTTATGCATCGATCACAAAAAATTTTGGTTTGTTGCAGTGCAGTCCTCAGCAATTTAAGCAGCTCCTTGATTTCCACAGTTTAACACTGGAGTTTAATAATCTGTTCCAACAAATCATCTCCGGAATGCATATGCTCTTAAATCCTCAATGAAGAACAGATTTTCAGTGAGATTCCTTATTTTCCTATCTCAAGGAAGGATCTTACCAGATTGCACAGCCTCACTTCTCATCCTTTCAAAAAAGAAGTTACCGCACTGGAGCTACGGTACTCCAGCTTCTATTTTCACTCAAGAAAAACAGAAAACCTAAAGCACAGTACAGCAATTCTAGTATTGTTGTAGAATTAACAGTACATCCATTAACAAAAGGAACATTTTACAAAACAAAGAAAAACACTTCGAATTTTCTTTTTACAAGTCACCTTATTTGTTATATACCTCAGAACTGTCTGTTAGGATCTAGAAGTAAATTTCATAACTGGAGATTATTCTGAAGAAAAGCAAACTTTAACAAGTTACTTACTGAAAATTCGCTACTTTTACTGATACAGGAATGTGGGGAAGTTGAGTGGCCCATTTCAGTGTAACATCTTGATAAACATTCAACATCTTATTGTGATTTCCAATTAAAGTGTTTATTGTTCCTTCTTGCACTGTTAAAAGATATAAAAGCAATTTTAGGATGAAAGACTTTTCAAAAGCCACTACTTTTCATATAGGCTTATAACATTATACAATTTTTTCTTTTCTTTTTAAGTCATTATGTGTTATAAATTAATTTATTATAATTAAAGTGTCAAAAGTTATGAAAGTTACATTGACAATGTATGACATATGTGATTACTTATGGATACCAATTTCAACTGCATATTACACAACACATACCACAACTTTCTAAGGTTCTAGCCAGCCATGTTTGGTAATTTTAAATATGACAAAGAAAGATTCATAATGGTTATGTTGGCGTGCCAGGACAGATATGACAAAATAACACATTGGTTAAATATCTACTACTTGTATTCTTCATTCATTTATTAACTTGTGAATACCAATTGAATGTGTATGCATTTACAGGGTTTAACTATAGTATAATTTAAATCAGAAAGTATAAAATGTGAGGATTGTCAAGATCAAATATGTAAAGACTAAAATGCTATTTAACCTCAAAATAAGACACGGTGTCAAAAATTTATCAGGTAGTTTTTGAAACATTAAAAGAGAGTAGGTATTAAGAGTCTGGAGTTCTAACCAAGTTGTTTCCACACAATATAATAACAGTAAACTTTATTTGATTTTTTTTTAAACTATCTGTAAATATCACAAGTTCCTCAAACAGAAGGTCCTCAAACAGTAGTTTATTCTTCCAAAATCTTTCATTCTTCCATGTTTGTTGCTTTGGTAGCCTGGACACTAAACAAGTAGCTCAATTTGGTAATGAGAAAATATTTAGATTCTAAAAGTTATGATACCTTACACTAAGTAACATTTGAAAATAAACTTGCCTCATTCAAAAAGAGAGCTCCAATTCACATACTTTCTACAAATCATAGAACCACAGAATCACAGAATGGCTTGGGTTGAAATGGACCTTAAAGACAACATAGTCCCATCTCCCCCTGCCATGGGCAGGGACACCTTCCACTAGACCAGCTTGCTCAAAGCCCCATCCAACCTGCTTATTCAGAAAAACATATTTATACAGTGGGAAAAGTAAAAAAAAAAACCAAACACGACTCTTAGTTGTAAAAGTAACCAAGCTAAAGTTAAATTGAATTTTCCTTTTACAAACCTGAACAATAAGGAATGAAGCAACTCGGACTGTAATCAAGCTTTTTCATAAATCGTATTTGCCCATTATCCTTAAGGCAAAAGAAGTTTCTCTCACCAAGCACAAAAACAGAAGAAACTCCCTGATTAAATGAGACAACGCATATATCCAGTGCTTGCTCTCCGATGTTTAGAACCCAATCCACCTTCAAAAGAAGAAACATGCTCCAGAAATCAATTGACAGCTGCATATTAAAGACAATACTTTGAGAAGGCTCAGAACTAATCAAATTACACATCATTAACATAGAAAAGTAAAATCCAGATCTTTTTTTGAATGAGAGTTATCCTCTTATTCTGAGGGAAGTTGGTAGCTTTCCTTAATGTGAGTAAAGCAGCAAAAATATCTTCATTTTAAAATAGCTATGAATTGATGACTACGCAGTTCACTTAAGTACATTTAAATTTTAAAATACACATGCCATTCAAAATGGAAATGCTTTATATTTTAGGTATTAAATCTGCCTCTGTACATGTCCTTGGATATTAAGGACAAGGTTAGAGAGCAAAAGGTGACAACTTATTCTACCAATATATGTAAATGGAAAAACGGACAAAAGCTTTCAATATGTAAGCCAAACTTGCAGTCACTCATGAACACTCTTCAGTCTGAAGAATGCTTGTGTATGTCATAGCTTGTTTACTTCTCCAACTACATACATTGATATAATAAGCAACTACTTATAAATCCTGTCTCCCTTATCTTTATGTTTTTAAGTTATTACTGCTTATTAACACATTTCATTGGTTTGTTTCTGCAGCTCCTCTGGAAATTTCAACTAAACACACATGCAAAAAATGCTTTTGACTTCTGCCAAGTCAGTTAAATAGAAATTTAGAATTTCTGAAGTAAAAATATATATCAAAGTTCAACTGTCAGCACTTCCTACATGAACAGCATCAATCATTTTGCTTAAAGAGCATAGAATGTGTCAGCAAACATACTGACATATCTGATATATGAAATTGGAAGTGCCATCTTAAAAGTTAAAGGGAAAAAAGCCAGGCTTATTACATTTGTCTCCATCTGTGCTTTACATTTTAAATTTTTAAAAAAATGTTTCATTTGCAGCATATCTGATGACTCCAGATTTCTTATTTAAAAACTACATCTTCTGCCAATTGAAGATGTAGGATTCAGATTGACTTATAGTTTGAAAAAATTCTACTGTTAGCCACTGGAAGGAAGATGCTCTCCCAACATTTTACTGCCATACCTGAAATACACTGAATCTAGCATTTTACATATGCAGTATATTTAGCAGACAAGCCACTCTACTGCAGGACCACGGCGAATTAAATTCTCTTCCTCTTAATAGGAGGCAGCTCAAATATTAAACAGCTTATTCATAGAGACACTTAAAACAGTCACAGGAACCTCCAGAAGACCATTGAATCCACAGGTTTTTGCCAAGAAGAGTTCAGGATACCAATTATTTATGGAAACATTTCACTGCTGAGTTTTCTCTAAGTACAAAGGATTCCCCAAGTAGAATGACATTAGTTTTCTAAGTCAAATAGAAAGTCACAATTAGACTTCTGTTAAAAACATGAGCAATAATTCAGGTGTACCTATTTATCTAATTTACTACAGTGTAGGTTCTGTATTACAAAGATGGCCTTAGAAATAGTTATTTCCAATACACAGTTCTCTCTTCCTTTCCTCTGTAGAAAAACAGCTAGTTTTAAGGCCCAACCTTAAACAACTGAGGGCTAAAGAAACCTTAATAGAAATACACTGGAGTGTTTCCATTGCCTTTAACAGCAATTGGACCAGGTCCTTTGTCAGCAGACAATGTTTCCACCCTGTTACCTAGCATCCATCTTTTTAACATGTATGCAGTGTTCATGCAGGTCATGTAAAATAAACAGGTTTTACCACAAGCCTTTTTCCAGAGCTAAGTTTTTGCTGTTCTGTTTCTTGTCTTTCATCAGCATCTGTCGCAAATGCCAGCACTTGGTATCTGTTACAGGAAGTTTAAAAAGGTAAAAAAGTAAAACATATTTTTGTAGTTAACAGCCTTACATTAAATAAAAAATAAAATATAATTATCATGAGTATACTCTCACAGAAAAAGCACCAACTAAAAGGATTGTTAGAAAGCCTACTGCAACATAATCTAGCATCAGCAAAGATATTAAGAGTAATATCACTGTAGGATAACAGCTAAGTGTAAAGGTAGAAATTAAAACAAAAATTCAGATTTTATGTGGTGTTAAAATAAATTCCATTGCTAAATATATTAGAGGATTGAAACCTAGATCACGAAGACAGACGAAATAAACCAATTTATTTTCAATTTGTGAAATTGAAATCCTAATTGAAAAAAAATTTTTTTCCACTTATTAAGCTTTTAAAAATCCTCCTAAACTGCCCAGAAATAGAATCTGCTATACCTAATAATGAAACCCTCAAGCACATTCATTAAGTAAACTAAGTAGTTCCAATCCAACAGACTACAGTAAACAGGCATCAGTAAGTGGCACATCTAGCAAAACCTGGGAGATTTGCGGGGGTGTTATTACTTTAACTGACAACCAACCATACTAAGAAAAATTGGAAATAAAGACATTTGAACAAAACGTATCAATGGTCATAAAAGTTGAGGACATCTATCTGTCCTCTTTACACCTATGCACATTAGGTAACCTGTAAAATACAGAAGTTTTCTACAAAAGTGAAATAAATAACAGAAAAAGACCCAACATAAACTTATCCAAAAGATAGCATTCAATTCTGCAATTTGTGGAGTGCCATCAGCTCCTAAGCTTAAACCAACACAATTCTGACTGTTCCAATTCAAGTCTAAAATAACAGAATGTATTTTTGTTTATTGTCAAAGTTATAGATTTAAAATGATGACACCAATATTCCTCACATTTCAGATGCACGTATTGTGGTGTAGTGACAGGACAAGGAGCAATGGACATAAATTAAAACACAAGAAATTTCACCTCAGCATGAGAAAGAACTTCTTTATACATTGAGGATGGCAGAGTACTGGAACAGCCCAGGGAGGTCATGGAGTCTCCCTCTCTGCAGACATTCAAATCCCACCCGGACACATTCCTGTGTCACCTGCTCGAGGTGACCCTGCCTTGGCAAGGGGGTTGGACTAGATGACTTCTAGAGGTCCCTTCCACTCCTAAGTATTCTGTGATTCTGTGCTTGCTACCGAAAGATTTTAGTTTCTAAAATTATTTTACTTACAGAAGTAAACTATGTACTAGTAGTAAGAGATTCAATTGCTTAAGGTAACTGTTATGACCTAGTTAATAATAATAAATAAGCTGCTTTTAGTACAATTATGTCTTTAACTCTCCCCTGTATGAACAAATCTACTTTCCTTTTTCAGTTTAACACATTTATAAGAGAAGTTGCAGATTCTGACCCAATAAACATATGGTGAAAAGAGAAAATTTTATTGATAGTCTTGAAAAGCACATTATCATTTTATTAACTAATTAGGGACTAATACAGAATTTTCAAACCAAGCTCCATTGAACAGCAATATATATTGATGTTTAAGTGCCAGCTGCCTGCATATACTCTTTCATGACAAAAAAACTCAAGCCACAGATGACCAACACAAACTTTTAATTCAGCTATCACATCAAGCACATAACCATTTAAATAAGAGGCATTTTTCTTTTAGATATTGAAAGAATTCAGCCATAACAAAATGGATAATTTGAAGTTTGGTAAATTGTTCTGCTAAAAACACTGGACAGAACTGCTGTATTTTTCATTCACTACCATAAAAATAACCTCTTCTTTCCTTAGCATATCTATTTCTTCACTTTAGAAGGATTACTTAACTGTTCTAATGTCCTAATAGTTCAGACACACACTAGAGATTAGTACCACAGTGTCTTAACACCTGGCATTAAAGACCAATAACCAAGTGAAGAATTCCTTTAAAACTACATGTTCCTACAGGAAGGACAGCACACTTGTGAATTTCTAACAGACTGAGGAAAAATTTTAGTCACATTTATTGTAAAGGTCAAGACTCTGAACAAAATAAAAGTGTATGAGATGTTCACTTTAAAGGAAAAAGTGTTTCTTTATTAATTGACAACATTAATAGATTCTATTCTAATTTTATTATAAGACTATATTAGAATTTTTATTCTAATTTTTAGGAAAAATATAAATTTTATATGAAATTACTTTTACTTGCAATACATACATCTTGTCCTGTGATAAGAAAACAATATACAATATCTATAATCTGTCATCTGATCAAGCTTAAACAGCATAATGAAAAGAGTATTGCTTGAGAAATTCAGGTGACAGAACTGGTAAGTGTGAGAAAGGGTCGTGTTGGACTAACGTTCCCTGGATTAGATTCCCACGGCATAATCTATAAAAACTGGCATCCTTATTTTCTTTAATATGTATGAATACATCTGAAAAAAATCCTTAAGGTACTTGTCAGCCCATTCCTCCAGCTTGATGAGATTCCTCTGAATGACAGCCCTATCCTTTTTATATTAGTCACTTCCTACAACTTGGCATTGTCTTTGAATTTCAGGACAGGCATTTTGTCCTACTGTCCAGGATGAAGATGTTAAAGATATACTGGCTCCAGTATCATCATCACTCATCTTTAGCTGCTAGTTAGAACTGTGAACAGCTACTACTCTATAAGCCTGACAGCTCTGCCACTTTTTCATCCATTTTAGTAGGTGTGGGTTTTCATCATCACAGGTAGTAACTCCGTTCTAAACACCACCCCACCCCAGTTTACTGCTAGCCTGCTAGGCACAGAGATTCAAAAACCCTAACAGCAGACTGTGTCAGTTTTAATGGAGAAATTATATTTTATATTCCTCCCAAGTAGTCGGTATTAACTTCCATGTCATACATTCCCTTTTTTCCATCTGAACTCAGTCAGGACCTACCTGTCCAGTCAATCTGCCTTCTGCTACTTATTTTCTTAAACATCGATTTCTCAAAATGGATTGTTCTTGGTCTTTCCGTGATGCAGCAGCTCTCCTGAGCCTCTCTGCCCTTCAGGGCAGCATCTCACAGGATCCTGCCCACCACTTCCTTGAACAAACCCAACTGTTCTCTTGAAATCTACAGTCTTTAGTTCACTGTTTATCTTCCTCATTTTTCTTAGGATCAGCTCATGGTCACTGCAGCCAATATCTGCAACACTCAACAGCAGATGCTGACTATTACTTCTCCAAACATTTCCTTCTGAGTTGTGTATTCAGCAAAGTGTCTTCCTAAGTCAGGCTGTCTAGCACCTCAATCAAAGGAGTTCTCCCTAATGCACCTCCAAAACCTTCCACATTGTTGAAGTCCATTATGTTGCCCTCCCAGCAGGCATTAGTCCTCTGTGAGAACATGGGCCTGCAACTGGGAGACTTCTTCTTTAAAAAAACTTCTTGTTTAAAAAAGGCTTTGTAGCAGACATCCACCACAATGTCCCATTCCTCAAGCATCCATCTGATTTATCTAAAGATGAATGCCTGACAAACTCCCAGCATGGTGGTTCAGTTAGAAAGTTTCTCCATAGGGAACACAAATCCCTCCTTGTCTGTTTTTCAAAACCTTTCTCATTTTTTTTTCTTTTTCTCTCTCTACTACATTTTTATCTGATTGGCCTTGCGATACATAGTCCCTGTGCTTGGAGGAAGTGGAAATGTCTTGCGCAGTCTTTCCTCTACATTGTGTTCTATTTTTCTAAATAATAAACGTAATATGGTCACAAACTAAAATAGCTCACAACATTTTCATCCATTTTCCAACACCAAAAGCATAGATTAGACTGAACTGAAGCAGGGAGAAACCTGGCACTTGGGAGAAACATGACGTGCCTTGATAAGCTGGTAGACTTCACATATATAAAAATAAAATAGGACCATAAAGTCCTCAGGACTCACAGTATGTTTTCCTCTATGACTGTACAGAGACAGTAATCACTCAACAACATATAATGCCTTTCCTGCAACTACCTATCACCTGCTTTTGGATACTCAAGTAGAGGCATTAAAAATTAAACATGATTACTTTCAATTTGTTAACCTATCATTATTAAATGACAGCACCCAAACACACTATAATTACTGAACATAAACACATACTTGTAACTCTCAACCTGTTGACATGAAGACACTGTAATGAAAGAATCTGTGCGAGAGCTGTAAGTCAAGGGACCAGGCAGAAGAAAACCGGGTAAAAAACGGCCAAAAGCATAGCTTTCCTGTTCAAACAACATAAGCATCCCATCCATGGACTGTATGCATATCAAATCTCGACCTAAGGAAAGCAACAGAAAGAAATACACAAAGAAAACAAAGCAGTTATTTATTTAGTTTCAATCCTAAAACTGCAAGTAAATTAAAATTGTACGCATCAGTAATCCTAACAAAAATAAGATTCATTTTCATTTATGGGAGTGTTAGTATACTATGAGGAAGAATACTAAATATTCCAACCTCAATAAAAGTTTACTTTCTGAAATAAACAAACTACATTTTGGGGGGAATAACATTCAGAATATATTAGAAGGGGGAAAAAAAATATTTTATTTCAAACCAAATTCCTAAGGATATAACTATTACAATTTCAGTTTAAAGAAATGTTTCAATATTTCCAAAACACCAAATTATTCTGGTTGTTAAATGCTTCCATACCTTACAAGCAGTCATAACAACTGTGGTTTAAAAATAACCTATTCTATTCTTCCAAGTCTACTGAAGCAATATAACAGAAAGTCCTACAAATATGTATTGTTGGGAAAATAATACAATGGTAATGTTTTCCACATTTTACATTCACATTTTCTGTCTTCAAGGAAAGAAAATACAAACCAGGTCTACTCTGTATTACCAGTAAGACTAAAAAATATGAAATAAAAAAAATTCAGCTTGGAGTAAATGACTTCAAGCCTCATCCATTATTCAGCAGCCCCAAGACATGACTTAAGACATGGCTTGTCATGCCTCAAGTACACCAATCTAAATTCAAAGTCTCATTGGGAAAAATTCTGAGATCAGAAGCTGATTATGCAGTTTGCACTTCATATGCAGGGTAACAATTCAAACAAACAATATTTTTTATGCATTTAAAGAGAGCATTAATAATTGTTAATCATTATGATTAACAATTCCTGAAGGTGATAGATGTGTCTTTACTGAATTCAGAGATAAGCACTTATCTTGCAAATGCTACGTGAAGTACTTGTAATTCAAAATGTCTATTCACCTTGATTAAAATACTCTCTTGTGTCTCAGGAATGATTCTTTATGCATGGATGACCCTAAAAAACTGTCTGTTCACTAAGTTCCACCCTCTTTTAATTAGTGTTTCCTAACAGAAGAAGGTGAAGCCAAAAAAAAAAAAAATAGACTAAAACTTCATTCTTAAAGTTACATGAAGGTAACAAAGACATTCAGTACCTGAAAAAACAACAAATGTACAGTGCAAAACATTGTTCATCTCCACTGCGATTCTCCACAGAAAGTTTAACTACTTAAAAATAAATAGCAGTGTAAAAGGCCAGAAGTACATCATGTTACTTGTCCATGTGATTAAAATACACAATAAAAATTTAGCTGAGGGTAAGAAGATAAAAAAAAAATGAAAGGAAACTGAAGCACCTGGGTCCTTTCCACTTGCCCTCCTCCCTCACCCCTTTCTCAGATTTTACCATTTTCTAAAAATTTAGATCTCCCCTCCTTTCCGGATTCTGCATATAGCTCACAATATGTACTTTAAACTCTGCTGCAAATATTAACCATTTGATAAGAAGAACATTTGGAAATACAATTCATGTGGTTAATCTGGTTGAGGCAAAGTTGAATCTTTCAGTCTCTAGTGAAAAGACAAGAGGGAGGCAGACTCTTCTCTGTGACACCCAGATACAGGACTAAAGTCATCAGTAACAAACCGTATCACATGAAATTCTATCTGAACATAAAAATCTAATTTATTTTTTTTTACTGTGAAGGTCATCAAACACTGGAACTCATAGTCCAGAAAGGTTGTAGACTGTCCTCCCACAGACATGCTGATAATACAGTGGAACACAATCCTGGGCAACTTTTAGGTGAACCTGCTTGGGAAGGGAGTGGACTAGATCATGTCAAGAGAAGAATCATTCAATTCCAGCATTCAAAGAAGGCATTCTATCTTTCATCTCTGTTCCACCCCAAGGCACTTCTTGCAGATATCTGTTCCTCTGAGCTGTGAAATTTCACAGGATTTAGTCCTATCACATGCTCCTGGATCAGCAACAAGTAGAAACCATCAGAGAAACTTGAGAACTTTTGCATGGGTATGCTATCAACATTAATGACACCCAGCTTCCAATTCCCAGCAGTTGCTGACATTATTCTCACACTGCTGATACAGTCTAGAAAAAAATATGAGTTAGCCAGCTGTATAAAATTATGATTACCCAGTAAAAGTTCTCTGAGAAACTTGTACAAACACTGATAACCAGTAAAAGGTGCTAGCCCACTGGTTGCCACCACAGTCTCTTAGGCACAGTTACTTTAAAGTATAGTTATTGACTGCTACAAAGAACTAGTGGGATTTTTATTTGGCTTGCAAGAAAACAGTGCTTCATAATCCAGGTGTCTGTGTGACCACAATTATTCTACATCTGTTACCTCAAAGTCACATCTGTTCACATTCAGCATTCAAAGGCGTACTGAAAACCCTCTCAACACTTTACATTATCTAACTGTTCGGTTCCACTTCTATTTTACACCTTTATCAAGAACGCAACACTGAAGTCTGGGTATAGAGAATCTTCAAATCCCCTTCCACACTATGAATTCTCCTACCACCAGCAGTGTGCTACAGAAAAAATCTGCAGCTGTCTGCCCTATTTCCAGAGCCTTAGCTTTCAGTGTCTAACTTCAATGGAACTCCTTGTACCTGAAACCTGAAGACAAATTGATTACAGATCATCTTGAAGGTTTTTTTAGAAGGCACAATAGAACACATTTTTACTTTGTTTTTTTTAAGGTGCTTCTTATTTTTCCTCTTTTCTTCCTTAGAAATATATAGATAAAATCAGGAGGAAAATAAACCAAGCAAGAATGAAAAATTAAACCTGTGCATAAAATGACTCAAGTCACGAAAACATTCTTATAGCAATTATGTTTAATTTTTTTCCATGTTGCTATTCAGATTTGAAAAGTTCTAAATATTGCTTGATAGAAGGTCTAAAGAAAAGACATTTAATTTTAAAATGAATGCCCTTACTAACACAGAAATCTTATATATTTTGTAATAGAATAAAATTTGAGGTACTCCTAGTTATATTGATAGTAGTGAGAAAATTATCTCAAGACAACTACTGATCATAACCTTTAGGGTTTAGGCTTGCCTAAAATATACAATTAAGTTGTTAATTTCTACTCTTCTGATGACAACTATAGCAGATGCAACTGATATGCAGTGATACTCTCTACAACTACCTGAAAGGAGGTTGTAGCCAGGTGGGGGTTGGTCTCTTCTGCCAGGCAGCTGTCAGTAAGATAGCTCTGCCAGGGGAGGTTTAGGTTGGATATTAGGAAGAAATTATTTACAAAGAGGGTAATCAGGCACTGGAATGGGCTGCCCAGGGAAGCGGTGGATTCCCCATCCCTGGAGGTTTTTAAGATAAGACTGGATGTGGCACTTAGTGCCATGGTCTAGTAACCACAGCAGTAGTGGACCAAGGGTTGGACTTGATGATCTCAGAGGTCCCTTCCAACCCAGCTGATTCTATAATTCTGTGATACATATTACAAGTCAAATAACAAAAAAAGTAAAAGTCATTGCAAGTGGTGAGGTGTTATTGCTTAAGTAACAAATAATAATAGCTTCTGGTCTCCTCTATATTATAAGTATTAACCTTATTCTTACCAATTTCATCACATCATGAAAGTGATGAACAGAAAAACTATAGCACCTCCTGCAATATGTATGAAGCTACATGTCATACCAAACACGGAAGCATTCATTGGTCCGTTCCAACTTGGCATACTCTGTGATTCTGTGATCTTTAACATGCATAACCCCAATCTTTGTAAAATCTCTTCAGTTTTAACAGTAGTGACATGATTGATTACGACATGACATAATACGACAAGTTCTTTAGAGCACTCCAAAGATCTCCAAGCATAGTGCAGTACCAAACCATACTTGCCTAAAGAAACAAATATAGGCACATAAGACTGAATCAGCAATCACTCTTTGGGCCTTTAAAAGCACAGCGGCACTTCTCAATATACCCACCACTTTGTTCATCATATTTGTGTTGTTCCTACTCACTAATTTTCAAATTTGGATTTTAACTAGCTTGTACAAGTGGATCAAACTCCAGTTATCCAAACTATTACATGTAAAGCTTAATTAAAGAAAATTAAATTGTATATGAACTCCTATTTCCCAGCTTTTTATAGGTCAACTTATTTCCTTCAGCCATTTGTTTTTAATGTGTAGCTAGTGAATGGAGTTTTATGTTTCACTTTAAGAAATGCAGTCTTCCAAAAACTCAGCCAGAAATGTCCATTTCAAAAAAAGCTTATTGCAGCCAGTTGGCTTTGCCAGTGACACATTTATAAAGTGAAAATATAAACCACAGTGTTTTCTGCGTATCAGATGGAATCACTTAGTGTACTCTACATAGTTTCAGCAGCTTGTGTCTCAAGAGGAATGTCCCTCAGCCAGAAAGTGTTACTTTTAAGCACTAGTCTAGCTACTGTTGTTTTGTAGTTTTGTTATTCTAGCAGAATACGAATACATTTACGTCACACTTTTAAACCACAATATATTTTTAGAGCTAATGCAATGACAAAATGAGAGGCAGGTGGTAGTTCTTTGAAATAAGCTTCTAATTAAAGCTATTTTGGAGCTCAAGTTTTTCTGCATGTTAATGACTTCCTCTACTCTGAGCCTCCCCTCTGGCACCAAAGCATTTTCATAAAAAGTACATTATGTAATCACAAGGCCTGAGCACCACGTGAAATCATGCAATGAAAACTACAGTGGGATAAACTGGAAATTAGAAAAAGCTTCATAAAGTTACATACTTTAGGAAGATGTCAAGTGAGAAAACTTTAACTGCCTTTAATGGTAATCTAAAGTTCCTCAATACAGGAGCCTAAGAGCCCCTTAATGATATGCAGGAAATGTTTTCCTAATATGATAAAAAAATTAAATCCACAATCCATTGACCAGTGAAGTGATGCACATAAACTGCATTCCCATACGCTGGAAGAGAAGTTCCTGTCCTGACTTGAAACAAGCAAATATGTTTT